GGTACGATCTAGTTTTTCCTTTTCCTTCCTTTCTTTCTTTCTTTCTTTCTTTCTTTCCTTCTTTTCTTTCTTTCTTTCTTTCCTTTCTTACTTATCCAAACGTTTCACCGAAAGACACTATTAAATTCTACTCGCCATTTTTCCGAATTCGCACTACTTCGCCACTGACGCATTTGTCCACGGTAGTTAGCTTCTCGCGTCTCCTTATCACCACAGTTGATTTAATTCATTCTGCTTAGTATATAAAGGACAGGTGAAACAATTGTATGTAACTTTTTAACACAAACTTGTGAATTTTTTTCTATAGCTCTCTACGCAAGCGTTGCCACACACGGTTTAATAAAGTTCACAACATCGCTAGATAGAAAACCAAAAAGGAGTTAACAAAAATTAAGAAAGAAGTTAGAAAAAATACAGGATTCAAGATTCTATGCCAAAATCGGTACCTTGCTACTGATATTTCTTCAACTATGCTGACAACATTTATATCAGGTCGATTTGAGTTCGAATTTTTTTGTTGGAAAAAAAAGCATTATTTATACAATGGTTTGCCTTTAGCGATGCAGTGTGCTATCGGCAGGTTTGAGGACCTTAGTCGACTAATTAACTCCTATAATAATACTCGACCTCTCATGAATAACCAGTATTATTTGTTCGTAGTCTATTGATTATTGATATCTAATCGGACAATACTCTGGCAGGTGAGAACCAAAGGGCTTTGGCGGAATAACATTTTGGCTAAAAACACGAAAACTCTCCCCACGTCTAGACGAGGGAACCAAACCTGAGGCTTTTGAAGACATTGAGTTCAAGTTTTCCGAAATTGAGGTACCTGTGCGCCATTGTTTTCGATGTTTTTTCGTAGAATATTTTAAGCTCTGGTGGCATGTGTTTTGGTGTTTGTATATCGTGCATTATTTATTCATTCATACATAATTTAGTCTGTCATACGTTTCTTAGGAATGCGAGAAAATACTATCGCCCATATATTTATATGTCTGTGTGTGTGTGTGTCAGTGAATGCGTTTGTAAAGACATATAGAAGAATAGCGAACTAGAGCTCGCTAAACATGGTGCGGGCACTAATATAAACCAATTATATTTGAAGTGTGAAAACACGTGTTGAAGAAATTCCTTTTGAGAAATTTTGGTATCCAAGGAACTTCTTGGAAATGTGTGCCAGCGAATTCTTTTCGATTTCTTTCAATTTGCCTTAGTACCTGGAGGGTGTCGTAGAATTTGCAGTTTTCTTTTCAATGAATTCAAATAGAGTCGGCTTTGACAGTGTATTTAGGGTCTGAGATGAAAACAGTTTCTAGAGCTAATGCATTTCGCAGCATGATGTGCCACTGAATTGGCTTCCTCTAAAACTATTAGTTTTCTCGCTCAATTTTCCCCGACTGAAAGCCGCCATAATTTTTCCTGTTTTCGCCACAAAAAAACGATATTTTATATTCGAAATATAGAGGGGGAAAATAAAATAAAAAGGTAGGAATTGAAATGCAAAAAAAGGGAAAATTAGTTTTAAATTTCACGTCAATTTGATTCACTTCCAAGTAAGTAAAAACGCCGAAAATGTTTTTTCGCGAGATCGCCAAAATGATAAGAATAAACACTCATTAAAAATAAAAATATGAAATAAATAAATCTAGACAAATAAATAAATAAATAAATAAACTTGATGTATATAGTGGGTAGTTTATGTATTTATATCACTTAGGATAGGTAACTAACTGGAGGTGACGCTATTTGTCGTTATACCGGGCTAACACCGTTACGATCAACCCACGAAAATTATGTCAAGACGCAAGAAGCCTTTATTTTCCCTTTAAAATTGCTGTTCTTAGTTGTCATTGAAAATGTTGGTTAGTGTCAAAGAGAGCGCCAAATATGGAATGCATATTTAGAAGCAATCACTACGTTTGAAGTAATTACGTCATCAGCTCAGCTTGGGGCACTCAAATAAGCTATTCTCGTGCGAGCGGGATGCGATAGGAAAGTGCTTTAGACACTAGTTCAAGACAGGTGCAAGCATTAGAWATTCGAATTCCGGTTGCTTTCATCCACAAACCACGAATTAAATTAATACCAGCAAGAGTCTTCCCGGTTATGGGGAAACCCTTTACACTTAGCTCGAGTCTTATTACATTGCCTTGGGGGTGTATCCGTCCCCTGCCGGTAGCAGTCTGACTCAGTTCCATCTGGGCCATTAGTTCGTCGGAAGAACTGACGAGTTTTCACCGGTCTTAGAGTCTTATGTTTCCTACGTTTCTACCCAAATTATCTGGTTTGCTTCCGTCATTAGCAATTTGATTTCAAATGTTTTAAGAAGACTTCATCTCCATATCATTTTTATGGCTGCCCGAGCTGAGCGAGTGTTCTGTTAGCTCAGAGGGGGGTCGTTTTAATCAAAAAGGATCTCGATTTTAAATATCCCCAAGAAGACACCAAGACGGCAGGCAAAGCTGCAGTAAATCACAAGATCGGAGACAACTTGCAAAACGAGATTGTAGCAACTTTTTTCCGTCAGAGTTTTTTTTTTTTTTAACAAATCACTTTAGTGAATTAACTAAACTTAACTTTCTTGATATAGAAAAAAAGGGAAAGAAAAGATCAAAGTGTTTGAAAATATATAAAACACCGTTTTACAGGATTTTTTTTTTTGATTGTTTGTCAAGCTCGTGCACAGCTGTCTGTTGATTGCACATGTGTTGATTAGCGCGAGACTTTAGGCTTAAACTAGTTTCCTACCGATTGTCTTTAATGCTTTTTCACAGTACGATAGCTCTACGATATCTACTTTTACCTTGAATATAGAACTGTTAATCAAAGAGGTTTTTAAATGACTAAAAACAATAATGGTGTCAAGGTGTCAGTGTTTTCCTTAACTACATCGAAGGCAGCGTCGGACTGACTGGCATACCCACTGAACATTGATGGCTTATCGGATGATTACTGTAAATATGTGCACAACTGTACTAAAACTGCCAGAAGTACGAGTACTTTTTGCTTAATTGATAGTGGAATCATTGAAATTAAGCAAAGTTGAATGAATTAAATATTTTTGAAAAGCAATAGGTATTAGAAGAACTTATTTGATGTGATAAGACAGTTGCAACAAAATGTCGAGCTGCCGTGCGTACCAAAAGTGAAATTGCTCTTGTGAAATGGCTTTGGGATTGAATTGTGAAGGATAGTGATAAGATATGAAAGTGAAAAGATCAGTGAATGACTCTCCATCAAGATTCTAGTCGTCATAATCCCGTTAAGGTATTTTGTTTTCAGTTGTTATCTTTCTGTATTGTGCATTGGGAAATAGTTTTGTATATATTTGTTTTCGTTTTAAGGATTATAGACTGAAAATGAATGCATTATGTTGACAGCCAAATCGCATTAAATCATTAACTTTTGACTTAAGATTTGTAGAGAGAATGAAAAAGAAAA